CCGCATCCGGACGGTGACGCTGCATCATAAAATCTTCCAGTACTCAATAATTGACCGAAAAGTTGGAACTACCAAAAGATACCCAGGCAGCCTTTAGTCATGGAGAGAGCCCGAAACATCATGCCTTGTGAAGTGCCTGCTTCTGCCTCCATCGCAGAGACAGGATGGGCTTCATCCTGAGGAGGGAAGCCAGCTGAGAGACGCAGGCCGACTTCCTCCCTGCGATGGGGACCGAGGACGAGCGCGGCTGGGGAACGGGCAGCAGGGCCACTGGGGTCCCGGGTCTCAGGGAAGACATCCAGACCCCAAGCTTCCCCAGGAAGGATAGGGATACGCCCCTCACAAAGCAGAGAGACGTTTACTAAGACCTGGGGCCCCACAGAGCCCGGCGGCTCCGGCTGGTACCTGCTTTCTCCCCTTTCCAGACTAACAAGAGGAGGGGACATTGCATGCAGCGCCCTGCCCTGCTCTGAGGCAGTCAGTAGATCCCAGATGGGTTGCAAATGAGATTTAGGAATCCATTCATTTATTAGCAGGGCAAATAGACGTTCAGGAGATGGCTCCTCATGTCAGAACAGGAATGAAGGCCTGGCGGCCACCTCCAGCCACCTCCACGCATCCAGCAACAGAGAAACTGGAGGAGGGAGGGGGCGAGGGGCCAGTGGAAACCCTGCAGGAGTGCCGGAGGCCATGGGAACGTGGTCCACGCATGCCATCCGTCATCAGAAGCTCCAATACTGGATGACAAAACAGCAGGATGGGAGCGAGAGTTAAGAGCTGAGGAAACACATTTCCTCAAAATCACACCATTGCTAGAATAAGTCAGGAACAGCAAGGGGCAGAATGTTGGATTACTAGTGCAGGAAAGGCCGGAGATGATTTGGGGGCGAGACAAAGCAAGTAAAACAATAACTTATTCAGTTATGACTTGTTAAGCACCTACTTCATGCCACACTGTTTAGACGGGGCAGGGGGTGGGGAGACAGGGTCTCTGCCCTGGGGGAACATGCAGGCTATTGCGTCGTAAATAATATACGGATGCCAAAAACGACGAGGGCAAGGGGACGGAGGGGTCATCCTGAGGGGCACAGTTGTTGAAAGAGATCAGGACATTGGGGAAGGAGGGACCCGCGGTGGAGGCGGCGGCCACTCAGGGGGGACCACGGTCCTGTACAGGTGCAGCGCCCCATGGGGCCACACTGAGGGCTCCGAGTGACCGTTCTTCGGGGGAACCCTCGGCGGCTGCGTGGTGAGGGCTGGGAGGAGGCGAGCAAGGACACACAGGGAAGCATGCAGCACCAGAGGCAGAGCCTTCGGAAATCTGCAAGTGAGTCCGAGGACGAGGGGCGTGCACGCCCTGTTCCAGAAATCCCGACGGAGTGGCATCCGCGCTGAGGCTCATCTTGCCTGAGTCACCGGACTTTCGGAAAGAGCAGGTCACGTGCAAGACAGACCTGCCGCTGGGCCCGCGTTCCTGCCCAGTACTCGGTGTGTGAAGCCGGCTTGGAGGGAAAGCGAGCAGCGGCTAAGGAAGGACAGGTCACCCGCCCCGACTCGCGCGAGTCTTACAGGCAAATGTCTGTAAGCCGCAAAGAACCCGAGGGACGAAGTCTTTCACGGAAAGCCAATGAGGGTACAAGCGAAGCAAAGACTGAGGGGCCACGTGGGGGTGGAGACATCCCCACGGCCTGCGCGGCGCGGGGGGACTCGTGGGTGCAGGCCCGAGGCCGGTCCAGCCCCGAGTGGGAATGACGGTCTCGGCGGGCGGGGGCGTCAGCTCCTCAGCACTTGAAGCCGGACGTCAGCCAAGGCTGTCTGAGGGGAGGGCGCTGCCAAAGCCACGTGACACCGTCTCTTGATTTTTGCAATTTCTAAAAATAATCTTAGAAGAAGCTTTTAAACTTGGGGTGAAGACGCATTCGTCTAATTCAGCAATCATGTTTTCCCTTAAAATTAAAATTTTTTAAATTTGCAGGGAGGAGCTCTGTACTTATTCTGTGTTTCCACATGCTCTCTCCTCACTGCCTAGGTCTCTAGAAATACCTGGATAACCTTCTCCGAATGTCAACAGCCTTATCTTGATGAAATTGTGGGCGAGATTTTTAAAACTTTAGTGTTGGATGTTGAATAGTGAGTGTGTTCTTACAAAGCCCATGATGTCATTTTTTTCAGCAGGGGCAGTGCTGGGTCGTGGTCGTCTGCTGGCCCTCGCTCGGGAGGACACAGACGACACCCCCCAGCACACACCTCCCTCCTTCCTCTCCTTCCTCCTCTCTCTGCTCCCTGCTCCAGGCTGGCCCCCCTCGTGAGCACAGACAGGTGCGAGGGCGCGAGGGACATCATGCAGCCAGCCCGGGCAAGCCTGTGTGTGGGACACTGTCCGCCCTGCCACCAGAGCACCCAGGGATGTCCCCAAATGCCCCCCCCAGATGTCTCTGAGAGTCCTGGGGAGGTGTGTTGTTCCTCCTGGAGCTTGAGGAGAGACCCACCTGGCTGAAAGGGAGGGAATGGGCAGTGAAGAATAGACATGAGGGGCACCGGGGGGGGGGTACAGTCGGTGAAGCGTCTGGCTCTTGATTTCAGCTCAGGTTGTGATCTCATACGGTTGTGGGGTCGGGCTCTGTGCTCAGTGGGGAGTCTGGTTGGGATTCTCTCTCCCTCTGCCCCTGTGCCCGCCTGCACTCTCTCAAAAGAAATACAGAAAATAAAAATAAGACAGAGTGGACGTGGGGGGGTGCTGCAGTGTCCGCGGCCGGGGGTGGCCCAGGTGATGTCCTCGCCAGACTGATGCTGCCCCACGACTCTCCCTCTCTGCTCGTCCTGCTGACGCCCACTCTGCTGGGTGGACCCTCTTCCCTTCCTGGGACTCTCGGCGGGAGTACTGTTCCCATTTGGGGCCCGATCATCCTTGGCTGTTGGGGGCAGTCCTGTGTTCTATGGACGTGAAGCAGCGATGCCAGGAGCCCCTGTGGAAGGCACAGCGCCCCCCCCCAAGAAGATGTCCACGTCTCACCCCAAACCTGCGAATGTGCCAGCAGGAGGACTGCTCAGCCATGACCGGGGGGCTGGCGCGGCTCTGAAGGCGGAGGGAGGGGCCCCGCGCCACGGCGTGCGGGCAGCTTCCAGAAGCTGGAAAAGGCCAGGAACACATTCTCCCCAAGGGCCTCCAGAAGGGCAGGCAGCCCTGCCCGCGGCCTGCTCTTAGGCTGGGAAGCCCGTTTTGGACTTCTACAGAGCCCCCAGCCAGGGAATTTGAAGACATGAAGTCTGCGGTGGTGGCTGGTTGGGGCAGCAGTAGAAACCAGCCCTCCCGGTGACAGCAAATCCGTCCCCAGCTGGTGAGTGACACCTGTCCTGGGCACTGTGCTCTAAGAGGAGGAGGCCACCGGGTTGGTCCTGAGGCCTTCGTAACCACGGTAACCATAGAAGAGGCAGCAGAGGATGCTGCGCAGCTGGGGGCCTCAGCCCTCCCAGGCCCCTCTGCTCTGCCGCCGTGGTGGGAGTGCTGGGTGCTGGGCCCCCCAGGCAGCCGGCTGCCTGCTGGGCGGAGGCACCGAGAGCGCGTGAAAGGCAGAGGGCTGGCCATCCGGGCATCCTGGACTCACCACCATCTGACTGCAGCCTCATGACCCGCCCCAAGCGAGACCAGAACTGGTAGGTCAGCCCGGTGAACCACCGGATCTCTAGTGCCAACATGGGAGTCCTTTAAAGCCACTCTGTGACAAAAAACTCCAAAGCCCTTGTCACCTCTACCCTGACTATTGGCACTTTAGCTCCCACTCTGCACTGTGAGCACTAGTTGGGGTGGGGGACTTCCTGCCCAGCATGGAGCCTGGCCCATGACACCCACCCCCCACTTCATCAGGGTCCCTAAGGGGGAGGGGGAGGGGGCCTAAACCTCACCCCTCAGGACACATCCACTGACCTGTGGGCCAGCAGCCTCTCAGAAGCAGGCTCCGGGACCGAGGGAGGCCGCTACAGGCAGGTGCCCAGCTGCGTGCCCTCACCCCAGACCTGGGGTTGGTCACCTCCTCTTGCCCAAAGTCCCCTCCAGCCAGCTACCCCCACACAGGAGCCCGTCAGCCCCTGAGAGTCAGGGGCCAAGTCCCGGGGATGGCACACCTGCCCTCCCCCCCCCCCGCGGCTGTCCTTCCATGGCCCCTAAGGGCTGGGAGCCTGCCATCGACCCCCTCCTTCCCTCCTCCCACTTCCAGTTCCCCTCCAGCTTCCTCTCCCCAAATGCAGCTCTGCCTCGTCACCCCCAGCTCAGAACCCTTCCGCCCACCCCTCAACCTCCAAAAGCAGACACCTCTGTGGGCCCAGGGCCAGCTCCTCCCAGCTTCCCCATGCCCTCTGCCCACACTGCTTTCTTGGCCTGTTCACCAACCACTGTGCTGAGCTGGGGAGGCACCACCTCGTCCAGGAAGCCTCCCTCTGTGTTCAGCAGCCCCTGACTTCTGCTCCCCCAGGGTTATGCATGCCCCTTTGGGCCTCCCACAGGCAGGGCCCAAAATGAGACTCAGTGCCCCCAAGCTGGGTGGGCATCAGTACCCAGCAGTTCATGACCTCAAAATCCCCATCCCCCTGGAGGAACAGCAAAGGAGTTGGTCACGAGCCAGGCTCTGTAGGGGGGGCCCCTGAGCCATCATGGCCCCCTCCACACTCCCAGGCCATCCGCAGCTGCTTGACCCCAGGAAGGTTCAGGCAGGCTCTCCAGGTGGCAGAGGGCTCTCCTGGAAGGCCCCACTCTGCCCTGTCCCCCAGGCCCCTCCCGGTGGCCTCCTGGAGGCTGGGCTGGGGCAAGGCACCCCTCCCTGAGGTGGCCTCCAAGTCCTCAGGGGTGCGCATTCTAAGAAAGGGGCAGCCAGAGGGTCCTCCTGGGCCTGTGTTCTCATCCCTGGGCTCACGAGCCCCCCCCCCCCCCCCGAGGGAGGTGAAGAGGACTCAGCCGCCGCCTACCCCAGGACCCTCAGGAAAGGCGCTGCAAGACAGACACTGGGCTAAGTCGGCTCTTGGAAGGGTGGTGACCTCGAGTCCTGCGCCTCCAAAGTCACGGTCTGCCAGAAAGGCGCGCTCCGGGCCAGGAAGGCGTGGAAGGCGTTGGCGGACTCAGAAGACCTCAGAGGGTGGGGGAGGAGCACGTCCTTGTCCACGTCCTCGGACACCAGCTGGGCCACGAGCTGCGCGATGTCCTGAGGGCAACCGCGGGGTCAGGGGGCGGGGCGGGGCCGGGAAGGGGGAGGGGCGCGCCGAGGCCGGGAAGGGGCTATGTGTCGCCTGAGCCCGTCCCCGGTCCTCCCCCCCACCCCGCACACGCTGCACTTGGTGGGGGGCGGGTAGCGGTGCCCGGTCTCTCCCAGCCGCCCCGCGCCCCGATCCCCGCCCCCCCGCTCCCTCCCCCCCCCGGCTCTCAGCCGCCCGGCGCTTCCCCGCCGTCCCCCGCACACCCTGCAGTAGAGGGGAGGCCCGCCGGTGCCGGGCTCCTCCCAGCCGCCTTGCGTGGCCAGCCGCCGACGCTCGTCGATGCTAACGCTCCATTGGCGGTTCGGGCACCTGCTCTCGGGCGGCTCGCACACCTGCGGGGACAGGGAGGCGGTCGGCGCTGGCCACACCTGCGCGCCGCGGGTCCCGCGCCCGCCGACCCTCCGCACCCCGCTCGGAGAGCAGTCGGCTCGCTCTTCCCCAGGATCCAGCTCGGCCTCCAGGGGCCGGGGCGCCTCCGGTCCCGCGGCCTGTGGCGGCTCTCGGCAGCGCCTCTGCGCCTGGACGCCCAGGCCCCACCCCCTCAGCCCGCTTTTCTGCGCGAGGGTCGGGCCCTGCCCTGGGAAGTCCTCACAGCAGCCACGGCCCTTCCCGCTGGGGCCAGGAGGCGGCAGGCAGTAGCGGTCCTCCGAGCTGGCCTGCGAGAGCCTCAGGAGAGGTGGGATGGGGGGCGCTCTTCCTCAAAACCCCTCTAAAAAAAGCCACAGGAGCCGTGAGGACACACCGAGGTGGCAAGGGGCCGGTAGAGGAGGGTGGTCAGCACAAGGCAGGAGGCTGGAAAGACGTCAGTAACGGAAAGGCCCGTCATAGAATTTCCCAGGTGGGCTGTCTGTGAAAGACCCTCGGAGAGCCCCCCAGACTCTGCCCAGCCCTGGGGGCCCCCTGCTACCTCCTAGGGGGTAAGACAGCCAGTCACGGGCTGGAATGCCATGGGGGGGGGCACGCTAAAAATAGAGGATAAAGACAAGTGCAGAGCAAAGTCCCCATTCCTCAAAAAATTAAAACTAGAATTTATTAGACTGCTCATTAGAATGAGCCAGCAGTCCCACTTCCGGGTATTTAGCGAAAGGAACTGAAAGCAGGTCTCAAGGAGATACTGCATGCCCAGGTCACGGCAGTATGACCCACAACAGACAAAAGGTGGAAAAACCCAAATGGCCACTGATGGGTGACAACATTCCCTAGTGTGGTAAATCCACAGAGTGGAATATCATTCAGCCTTAAAAAGGAAGAAACATGGGCGGACCTTGAGAACACTATGCCGAGTGACACAGGCAGGTCACCAAAGGACAAACACCCTGTGTGATCCCACTCATAGGAGGTCCCGGGAGGACTCAGATGCACAGGGACAGGAAGTAGATGCGGGTGTTGAATAGGGACAGCATCAGATTCGCAAAACAAAAAAGTCCTGGAGATCTGTTCCCAACAATGTGAATATACTTCATGCTGCTGAGCCATACACTTAGAAATAATTAGCAAAACCAAAACCAACCCCCCCAAAGTGCACATCAGGACCCAGAGACACACACGCAAGGAAGATGTGAGGGACACAGACAAGAGGGTCAGCTACAAGCCGAGGAGGAAGCCTGGAAAAGGGACCAGCCCGGCTGACACTTGGGCTTTGAACTTCCAGCTTCCAGACTTTGAGACAATACATTTCTGTGGTTTAAGCATCCTCCTTCCCCAACTCCCGCAAAAAAAAAAAAAAGGAAAAAGTGGACCCTGCATGGATCCAGAACTGAAAATAGGAAACAGGTTATACTGACATGGCAATCCTTTGGCCTCCCCATCCGCCTGCTTGTGTGCTCTCCCTCTCTCTTTCTCTGTCAAATAAATAAGTAAAATCTCTTAAAAAAAAAAAAAGGAAAAAGTGAAGTCCCCAGCCCCTCTTCCCACTCCGCCACTCTGCACCAAGATCTGCAGGGCCTGGCTATTCTCCCTCTCCTCCCAACAGAGGAGGGTTCCTTTCTGGGGGGGATGGGCAGCCCAACAGACCCCAAGGGTGCGGCGCCCAGGGCAGAGCCCCCAGAAACCTGCCCCAGCCCAGCCCAAGTGCCTGACTGCTAGCAAGGTGGCACCTGCGCACGTGGAGCCTCCACTCTTCAGCACTGACCAAGAGCAGGTGCGGCCTCTGCCAGGGATGAGAGAGACTCGGGGGACAGGAAAGAGCCCCCCGCCCCATACCTGTTGTTCTCCTAGACACGGGAGTCCATGAAGCAGAAAAGGGGGTGGTGTGGGAGAGGAGAGCTCCAACGGCAAGCCGGAACTCTTTAAACACGTAAGTGTGGTGTCCGCATGGAAAGTTCCCTAGCAGGTGTGGAGGGGGTGAGGGGTCCCTCCCTCCCACCCGGCGGTAGCGCTAGACTAGACCCACTACACTGTATCCTGCTCCCCCACGGGGCAGGGTCAGCAGAGCACCTGCCCGAAGCCCGCCTCTCAGGTCTCCGCCATCCACCATGGGTGCAGCATCCCCCGAGGACCTCTGAGACTGGGGGGCAAGCCGAGGACACACAGATCCTGCAGACCTCAGACCCTTGATGGAGAGCGAGAGCAAAAGCGTGCGGTTGTGGCTCAAGGAATTCGTCACAGAGCGTCATCACACAAATGCTGACTGATAATGCAAGGACTGGCCAAACACGAAAAACGAAGACATGGTGAACGGGTAACAATTCATGAGAAAACTGGAAAATCAACCATGTGGGCTGACAACCAGCTAGTCAAATTTCCAGGAGAGAGAGCCGAGAAAATGAATGCACAACACACACTTCCCAGAGACAGAGGGGACACGGCTCCAGACCAGGAAAGGAAACCCCTGCAGCAGGGGTAGTATGGGAATTCCAGAAACCTGCAGGGATTGACACGCAGCACACGTGCAAAGGACCCGAGGCGCACACCGTCTAGGGCATCACGCAGCAACAGCAGGGCTTAGAGGCAATAGAATAATACCTTACAAGTCCTGAAAGAACATGATTTTCCACTGAGAATTTCCACCCACGAAAGCACCACGCAAGTGTGGAGGCAGAATAAAGACACTTGAATAGCTTTACAGTCGAGAACTCAAACATCTCCCAGGCCCTCCTGAGAAAGCTCCTGGATGAGGCGCTCCACCCAAACAGGGGAGTAACCCGGAAGTGGGGGGACCGAGGGCCCAAGGACTGGGGTCCTGCAGAAGGGGGCTGGCAGGGGCGCTCCGGATGAGCAGACTTGGGGGGCAGCCCCCCTGGGAACAGAGCTGGCCTCTGGGCTCCCCCAAGTGTGGCCTGTGGGGCCCTGGAGCAACCACGGGCCGTTATCCGCGTGCCTGGGGCTCTGAGGAGGACGGAGCTGTGTTTTTGGCGTGGGGCTTCGTCCCCAGAGATGCACCAGCTCTGACTGTGGCTGGTGTCCCCAGTGAGAGTGTGCACAGTGAGGACAGGCCCCCGAATCTGGAATCACAATTCGCGGTGGGGACAGCTGCGAGAGCTGGAAGAAGTGGGCACCGGGTCGTGCCACTTGTGACCCCAAGAGCTGGGGCAGAGCTGTTGTTCTCAGTGAGGTGCGCACCTGTGTTAAAAGCAGCCCAAATTTTTAAAAATAAAGATTTAAGTGCTTAAGCAGAGTGATCTAATAGACAGAACATGCACACACCTCTTTGACGCACAATCATGCTCTCACCAAACAAATGGATCATTGCACACATCAGCCACCAGCCAAATAGATGGGCCAACTTGGGACTCGTCTGGGTCACATCGGGCAACCGCAAGGCAATGCAAGTAAAAATTAACGGCAGAAGCACATTGGGGTGGACCTTCTGAAGCACCCCTGATCCGCCCCTGAGTGAAAGGGAAAATCAAGGCTGCGAGCTGGCTCACTTAGAAATGAGCGAGGGTGCAGGGCACACCAGCTGCAGCTGTCCTGTGAAGACAGAACTCTAAATGCTGGAAAATTAGGAAAAAGTCCCTGAACAGGTGAAGCAAGCAATTCAAGCAGCGAGGAAAAGAGCAACAAAAGAACTTCAGTGAAAGCTAGAGGTCGGGGCGCCTGGGTGGCTCAGTCAGTTGAGGGTCTGCCTTCGGCTCAGGTCATGATCTCAGGGTCCTGGGATCGAGTCCTGCATCGGGTTCCCTGCTCGGCGGGGAGTCTGCTTCTCCCTCTCCCTCTGCCGCTCCCCCTGCTCGCTCCTTCCCTCCCTCTCTCTCTGTCAAATGAATAAATAAAATCTTTTTTAAAAAAAGAGGCAAGAGGAGGAAAGATTAATGCGTAACTTAAAAAAAAAACAAAACAAAAACCAACAGCAGACAATTATCAGCAGTTGGTTCTCTGAAGGCCAACGCAACAGAAGGACTGGAGGCCTCGCGGGCGCAGGCACATCACGTCGCGCAGCCTGTCTCCTCCCGCCCAGTATCCGTTCTGCTTCCTTCATGACCTGAGTCACACGCCTCACACACTTTCCTACTCAATGTTGAAAACCACGTTCTCGCTGCTCCGAGCCCTCGTCTCTTTGTAGATTCTGGCTGGTAAACGTTTGAACGTTATACGTAGAACAAGCATTTTCTTCCAGAGTTTTGTGTCTTGGCACCAACCTTTAAAAACTGCAGTCAGACTTGTCAGGATTTCCTGTCGTGGATTTAGCACGTGGCCCCAGGTGGGAATTTTCCCCTCCGAGATTCTGACGCTGCTCTGGCACATTCTCCTGGCGTGTCTATGGTTTGGTCTTAATGTTTGGTGCATGTCTGGTCTTCTAAAGGGGCAGCCGGTCACCGCACCCCCACTCATGGAGAAGTCTGTCCCCACGGCTCCGCACTGCCATGCAAAGCCCACATTAAGTCCCCAGACTCACACGGGGACCCATTTCCGGACTATTTGCACTGCATTGTGGATCACTTGCCCATGTCTGTCTGTCCCAATGCCATACAACTTTATTTTACTTTTTAAAAGATTCTATTTCTTTGTCAGACAGAGAGAGGGAACACAAGCAGCGGGAGCGGCAGAGGGAGAAGCAGGCTTCCCGCTGAGCAGGGAGCCCGACGAGAGGCTCGATCCCAGGACCCTGGGACCATGACCTGAGCCACAGGCAGACACTTGACGGACTGAGCCACCCAGGTGCCCCTATGCCATACAATTTTAATTGCTGGAGCTTAGAGCAGACAAGCAAAACCTGCTCTTACCTTTCAAAATCCTTGCATGGTTTCTTTTCTATGTAAATCTTCCCCCCCCCCAAAAAAATCCTTATTCTTTTGAATAATATCTTTACCATGCAGTAATATATCCACGTTTTTGAACTCTGACTGAAGGAAGCCACGCTGCACACATCATGCCGCTTGCTTCTTTCACCCACGACTACGTCTATTGGGCCACCCTGCTGCCCGTGGAGGGGCACCCACTCGCTCTGACTCCAGGCCCAAAGGCAGAGCTTGGCACCGAAGCCCGCTAGGAACAGATGGGAGGCTGTTCATGGGAGGTCTCCGTCCCCTGGGGCTGGAACATTCCCGTGTTCGCTCCGTGCACGTTCATGTGCAGGTCGAGGGACTGGGTTGTTTTTAATCCGCTCTGGCGACGGCTGCCTTGTGAGTGGGGTGACACTGGTCGCTGCACCTGCTGCCAGACCTTGTGCTTTGTCTTCCAGTTCCACGGACCCTTCTTTGGCCTCTCCTTTCTCCGCCACTTCCCCTTCACTTGTTCAAAAGTCACTGTCTCTGCTCTCTTGGTGTCAGCCCCGCGTGCATGCACACTCAACCAAGTCTAAGTTAACAAACGGGCCCCTCACCTTCTTGGGACCAGACGGAATCTGGAAAACTTAGCTCCAGTGACAGACCCCGTCCTGATGCTCGCGCCATGGTGGGTGCATGTGCTCGTCTACCCTGAGTCTTCGGTGTGTGGCCCCCGTGGGGTGTTGTGGTGCCTGTCCATGTT